GAATTTCAATTGATCTTCTTTATGCTAGTATTGATCTTTTGGTTGTCCCAGATGTAAGTTTCTGTTAGCTCGTTCTACTTGTCATCCTGGTGTCTTCTTGGTTGAAGTTGCTGAAGTGTTGCATCGCACACTGTATTATTTAGCATCTTCCGCTTTACGTTGTTATTTTTTTCTGTTTCTAAGGGGACAATTTCCATTTAAAGTGGGACTGGACTGCCTATTGATTAATTTTTGTCTTTTCCCTTCTGACACTTTCTTCTGTCTGCTCTGGCCCTATCTTTGCCCCTCATCTTACTATTTAGCCTAGCCATTTCTGCCAGAAGTTATGGGTGATCTATATACCTTGTTTTTACTTTTTTTTTTGGGTTATTCAACAAAGATGATTGCAAATTGATTCTGATGGGTGTACCTGCTGTTCTCAATGCAGCAAAGCTAATGTTGTGATTTTCATTAATCAATTTCTTAACATTATCATTTTAAAAAGTTAAGAAACTATTGAGTCAATTCCTTTAGCTCTTGCTGATGTCAGTTAATAGTTCTCAATCTGAAGGTTGCCTGTGTCTGTTGGATCTTAGTGTATTTACTATACATAGCCCAAAATTCAATTAAGTTCTGTATGAATAGTCTGGTATTCATGAATAACTCCTGTTATGCTTTGATTGAATCTTCTAATACTTTTAGTTGCATTCATTTTTTTAGAGTCATGTAGTTAATTTTTGGAGCATCATTATCAATAGTCAGCTTGTTAGGGGATGAGATTGCTTTCCATGTATTGACTTCATGGCTAATTTTATCAGGATTTGGACATCTCTGACGTCTCAGTTTTGCATAATGTTGACGAGGCAACTGGACGGAGTCTGAATGGATGCAGGGTAGCGGATCATATACTTAAGCTAGTTCCTAATGTTAAGGTAACTGTTTAGCTTTATGCACATTGCTGTGTTTATATTCTTAAGAGAAACTACGTTTTCTTTTTTTTTGAAATGTCTGAGTGGTGTTTACTAGAATTTCCGGACGGCTCTTCGATGCTTAAAATTTTGGGCAAAAAGGCGTGGTGTTTATTCAAATGTAAGTCTGGTTTTAATTGCAGATTAATTTTTTTCATCTTTGTCTGGATTTGTTATTGACTTGTGTTGTTTTCTCTACCTAAGGTGACTGGGTTTCTTGGTGGTGTAAATTGGGCTCTTCTTGTGGCTCGTGTATGCCAGCTTTATCCAAATGCAGTACCCAGCATGCTGGTTTCCCGTTTTTTCCGAGTTTACACTCAATGGCGCTGGCCAAATCCAGTTATGCTTTGTGAAATAGAGGACAACGAACTTGGATTCTCTGTTTGGGATCCTCGAAAAAATCATTGGGATCGTGGTCATCATATGCCAATAATAACTCCTGCTTACCCATGCATGAACTCAAGCTACAATGTGTCAGCTAGTACTCTGAGAGTTATGATGGAGCAGTTCCAATTCGGTAACAAGATATGCGAGGTATATCAAAACTTCCACTATTTTGGTGTCTGTTGAGCATGCTGTTTGACAGCTTTTTGCTAAAGTTCCTCCACCCTTCTCCCTCCAATTTTCAGGAGATCGAGCTGAATAAAGCCCAGTGGAGTGCTCTCTTTGAGCCGTATTTGTTTTTTGAAAGCTATAAAAACTACTTGCAGGTTGATATTATTGCAGCTGATGTTGATGACCTGCGGGCCTGGAAGGGTTGGGTTGAATCTCGACTAAGGCAGTTGACTCTGATGGTAATATCTGTTGGTTCTAAAAATGTTATCTGTGAACGAGGCTTCAGTAACTTTTAATTGTAGGCGCTATTCACCCGAAACTTGACAATTTAACTGAAGACTTTTGAAGCAAAATTAAATGTTCTTTTATGCTTTTTACTCAACTTTTTTGCAGATAGAACGAGACACATATGGGAAATTACAATGTCATCCATATCCCCATGACTATGTTGATTCTTCAAAGCAGCGTGCGCATTGTGCGTTTTTTATGGGTTTGCAGAGGAAGCCAGGAGAGGTGATTCAGGAAGGTCAGCAATTTGACATACGTGGAACAGTTGATGAGTTTAGGCACCAGATCACTATGTATAATTTCTGGAAACCGGGCATGGAAATATATGTGTATCATGTGCGTAGAAAACAGATTCCTTCTTATGTATTTCCTGAGGGTTACAAACGAAGTCGACCTTCAAGGCTTACAAATCAGCAGCTGGGTGATAAATCATCTGAAGAAAATGGAGAGATTTACAGGTCTGGATCTACTGAAAGATGTCTAAGAAGGAAAAGGGAACTTGAAGGGTCGGAGAACAATCAATCGAGTCCCGAGAAAAGGCAGTCAATTAGTCCTTGGGAGAGGGATTCGATATCTCCTGAAAACGGAGATATTTACAGGTCAGGATCTACTGAAGGATGTCTAAACAGGAAAAGGGAACTTGAAGGATCAGAGAACAATCAAGTGAGTCCCGAGAAAAGGCAGTCAATTAGACCTCAGCGGCGGGATTCGATGTCTCCTGATCTCCTTGGTGTAAAAAATGGCATTGCACTGAATGAGTGCTCGTCGACAGTGCTTGTGAGGGGGATGGAAGGTGCTGAAGCCAATGGACTCTGCCTGAGTGGAAGCACCTCAGAATTGCTTTCAGACAATTTGACAAATGGAGGCACTGGCATACAAAGGAATGAGAGGCAACAGGTTGAGCAGCAGAAAGAGGTCTCTGAAGAGTTGAATAAGCTGAATGGTGATACGCTTTTAGTGGAGAATGGTAAAGCTGGATATATCTTAGACACCAGTGTATTAGCCCATGTAAACAGTGAACTCACCAGCAAGGATGTTGGATCTCTGTCTCTTGCAGGTAACCATGACAACAACCATGGAAGTCGTGATGGGTTTAAACTCCAGGAATCTTCATGGGTTGATTCTCACAAATCAGATACCAAGTTGCTTGTGAACAATCATGGGGAAAATAGTGCACAGTTATATGGAGATGAATTGCAGGAGTTAGAGGTTTTGGATTTAAGTTTTCTTTGCTTATGCGCTTGAGATATTTTATTTTTTTTACCATAATTTCTATTCACTCTTATCCATATCCCCGACTTTGAGAGCAGGACCCCCCCCTTTTTTTTTTCTTTTTTCTGGTGAGGCCTTTTTTTTCCCCCCATTTTTGGTTGGATAATTTTTGTGCTTCAGCTTGTATTTTATGCATTTGTTTACCTGCATGGGCTTCATTTCCTCTGTTTATTGATTTGTGTCTTTCCACTCTATGAAGCCAAATGCTGCCCATCATGAAGTGGTGCTGAAGTCCAGGGATGCAGTCAGCTCGGAGTCTGTTCAGAAAACAGTGATGAGGCATGTTCATCAGTTTTTGTTACTTGATTCCTTTATGTTTATATGTTTTCTGGGCCATTTTTGTCTTTATGCTGCTGTTTGTCGGTTGTTTTATGGCCATTTTGTAGCCGGTTGAGTCTTACATCAACAGCTTGAAAGATGGTATGGTAGACCTGCTAATAGCCAAGATGGTAAACAAGATTTGATCATGGATGAAGAGGGAAAGCCAGCACGTCGGGTAAGTCTAATGTACATTGCTGGCTTTCATTTTCTTCTTTTTTTCCAGGCGTGCGTTTTCTTCTCATCCTGTGGAAGGAAAATGGAAGCAGGAATACGAAGAGCTGGGTTGAATTTCAGTTTCAGTGGCTTGTGTACAGTTTCATCTTTAGTCTCCTCTAAACACCCTTACAAAGATTTCACTGCCGGTTGAGCAGGCGTAGCTATGATATAGGTTCTCTTCCACCTGGGTATTTAGGGAAATGACATAATATGTTGGATCAAAGTACCGGGTTGTCTGTCTAGTGGACTTTGTTTAAGGTTAGGAAGTCGTAGCCTCTGTTGGAACTGAGATTTCTACCTCATCCCTCTGTAATCTTTAGCTAGGACTGATACTGTACATGAATGATTGACAGCAGTGATTGATATTATTAGGTGAATTAGAGATTTCTCCATCTCTGCTTGCTTGTGCAGCCTTAGTGATTCCTATCACGTTTAATTCTCTCGCGTCGTTTCTGATGCTAAGCAGCTATTTTCGATCCTTTTTTTATTTTGGCAACTGGGGAGAGAGGGTGGCCGATGGAGAGTAACTTTTCATGTTGGAATTTGATATACCGTTGTTAGTTATATTGACCGAAGTGGTTTTGTCGACTAGAACTTTACCTGCACTTTGGCTTTGGAAAGTTCGGTTTCTTCAGCTCGATTCGTTCGTGGAGTTGCCAAGTCAAATCATATTTTTTTAAGCAAACTTGGTTGTAATAATTCTCGAGTCAACCTTGATCAGGACGCCGGAACTATCATCGATTCAATTAACTGAATTTGATTGACCATGCATGCATGTGTGCATATATCGCCAGCTAGAATCGAACCCAATCGAATAAAATACTATAGCAGTGAACTCTACGAGATGATGAAGAAGAAAAAAAAAAAAAAAGGAGAGGTTGGTTGAAAGTTGGAGACTTCTTTTGTAGGGATTTTAGTACAAATCGGAAGAAACGTAAAGCCGAAACTTGACACCTCATCAAGTTTCTTTCCTCGTTACACCGGACTCTCAGCTACACTTCAACCAAGAATCGGATTTACCTTCTAATCTTTTTATCGATAACCATATCCTACCCAAACTATTACTAGAAGAAGATTCTTTTTTAAAAGGAAAAAGGGAGAAGAAGAAGATTGAAACAGGATCAATTCCCCCATCCCAATCCCACTTTTCCTCATAACTTTCAGTAGCGTAAATATAATAATGTGTGTAGAATAACGAAGTCAAAAAATCCACTTTCTAAAACCGGTCCATCTTAAAAATTTCCTCTTTTTCCGTTCTTGATTTTATCCCCCTCCTCCTTTTTCTTCTTTCTTCTGCGCATTTAACATTCACAAATCAGATCCCGTTTCTGTTAAAATCTGAATTCGACAATTGGGGCCAATAGAAAAGCGTTAGGGACCAAAGGCAATAATTAATTGTAAATGGGAAAAGTTGCTGTGGGAGTGGCGGTGATAGGCGCGGCGGCAGTTTGCGCAGCCGCGGCGTTGATAGTGAGGCATCGGATGCGATGCTCCAGCCGGTGGGCCAGGGCTATGGCCATCGTCCGGGAGCTGGAGGAGAAGTGTGGCTCGCCCGAGGCCAAGCTTAAGCAAGTTGCCGATGCCATGACGGTGGAGATGCATGCCGGCCTTGCCTCCGAGGGTGGCAGTAAGCTGAAGATGCTCATCAGCCACGTCGACAATCTCCCTACTGGGTCTGTAAATTTTTTTCAACCCATTTTGCTTGTTTAAATATGTAAAAATGTGATCTTTTTTTTTTTTAATTTTCAAGTTTTACATCGCTTTTAATTAGAGTTGTTCTTGTTTCCATCCCTTTTACTCTATCAAGAATATTGATGCATGAAGGAAGAAGGATGAAATAGTATCTATCCCCTGGACATGTTTTTGACGAGATGCATTATTTGACCAAATTTGATGACATGCATTTTTTGTTACCAAATTCTTGGTTGGGAGAAAATGAAAGCTTTTTGTCATGCATCGTTCTTTTCTGTGTTGAAATTAGATAAGATTTTTGAATGTTTAGGAACGTTTTTATTAGTTTTTAAGTTTTTGTCATTCTTCAGTGATGAGGAAGGAGTTTATTATGCACTGGATCTTGGAGGCACAAATTTTAGAGTTTTGCGGGTTGAATTAGGCGGGAAAACTGGTGGCATTGTCAGTCAAGAATTTGCTGAGGCATCAATACCTCCTGAATTGATGGTTGGGACTTCAGAGGTGAGCCCTTTGTGCGAGTTCTGCTGTTGGTTGATTGTTTATCTTGCTTTATGATGGTTTGCGCAGATATGTTGTCTGAACTGTTGACATTGATTTGTTTTCAGGCTCTTTTTGACTACATTGCAGCAGAGCTTGCAAAATTTATTACTGAAGAAGAAGAAAAGTATCATCCCCCTCCTGGTAGACAGAGAGAATTGGGATTTACTTTCTCTTTTCCTGTAATGCAGAATTCTATAAATTCTGGTACCCTTATGAGGTGGACAAAGGGATTCTCAATTGATGACATGGTAATTTTTTCCCCGTTGTATTTGTGTGGACCATTCTTCTAGAAAACAAGTTGGTATCATCCTAAGATGCTATAGGAAGTCAATCTTTAATAATGCCCCAATTGCTGGACAAACAAGGCGATCTGCATTTAGGAAATTATTGTAGCGGGCTACATAATCACTAATTTGTACATCAAAGATCAAGTTTTGTTGAATGAAATCCGGAATTATAACCGATCTACTGTTTTCTGCTAACATACCATGTTTCTTTTATTGTATGCCTTAGTATTATTTTCCTGGACTTTCATGCCAGTCTTAGTATTTCATTCCTTATGGAAGATCTTGATTCTGATCCTGAGTTCTTGCATTTTCTGGAAGATAGGTTGGCAATGATGTTGTCGCTGAATTGTCAAAGGCTATGCACAGACAAGGTGTTGATGTTCATGTGTCCGCTCTAGTAAGTCATATGATGACACATAAGCTCATTTATCATTTTTAATCGGAGCAGAGCACGATGAGTTCAACTTAAGGGTTATGTTGCAGGCTGCAGTAGTAGTGAAGTCTACCCTATGATTTCTAAGCTCGTGGTGTATAATCATGATTGCAGGTTAATGACACAATTGGAACGCTAGCTGGAGGTAGATTTTCTAACAAGGATGTGGCTATTGCTGTAATCATGGGTACTGGGACCAATGCAGCATACGTGGAACGTGCTCAGGCAATCCCAAAGTGGCATGGTCCCCTGCCTAACTCTGGAGAGATGGTCAGAAAAGCTCTCAATAGTTAATATGTTCATTAGTTAGTCTTCCTCGTCTTGCAAAATATATCACACTCAACACTGTAATCTGAATTTGGATCTCTACTAAGCGAATATCGATTAAAATTAAGCTAGTTTTTGGTCCAACCCTACAACTTCTGAAAAGGATTAATAAAGTGCTATTCTATTCAACTGTAGGTCATAAATATGGAGTGGGGGAACTTTAAGTCTTCACATCTTCCCTTAACAGAGTATGACCATGCATTAGATGCAGAAAGTTTAAATGCTGGTGAACAGGTAGGCATCTACCTAAGTGCTATTGCCCATAAACGCATGGTAAAACCATCTGAGAAACATACTATTCATTCTTACAGGTGTTTGAAAAGCTAATTTCTGGCATGTACTTGGGAGAAATCTTGCGCAGAGTTTTACTTAGAATGGCTGAAGAAGCTGCTTTCTTTGGTGATGAGGTTCCACCTAAACTGAAGACTCCATTTGTATTAAGGTATTCCTTGAAGTTTTTTGTGGCATTCTGTATTTTAAGGTATCATGTCTAGGTTTGGTTATACATTTTTTTGTGGATTCAATTAATAGCCTTCTTGTTAATTCTATGCATTGGAGTTCTACCCTTCATGATAAATCTTAATTCATATGTTGAATAAATAAGATAATTAGGCTAATTTGATATTTAATGGAAAATTATCATATTTTGTCGATTGAAAATCGACTCACTACCAGTTTTGAATACCTTGTCTGATTGGGAATAGAAATCAATGAAATGGTAAGCCCTTTTCAGTTGGCTATGTTGCGTATTCCTGATATCCCTAGGAGCAGATTATGTCACTTGAGACAGTTTTTAGTACTTGCATAAAGCGATAATCCTTGTGAATGCAATACTGTCGGTGTTTGATGCACTTGGATCAGGTTTTTCAACTTCAGCTGGTCCTATTCTGTCCTCATCTTGTCTGTAAAACTTAACCAGTTCCTGTATATGTACATCTCTTTCTTTTCAGTTTGACTTTTGTCTAATAAATTCCTCTTGCTCTTTAGACTCTTCTCCTTCTTTGTCTTGTCTCTTTTTTGCCTTTTTCTCTAACGTTTTACTTGCCTTCCCATCCACATGTAATTATCCAACGCATTCATTTTTAGCTCAGAGACTTGGACTACTGTTAGCCTCTAAAATTGCTGCCAAGATTATTTGATGGAGGTTTTTTTTCCCTTTTTCAGTTGATAAGCCATATATTCTGATAATCATTATATTCTTTTCTTGTGAGTGATGAATTATATTGTCTAATAAGTAGTAATGCAGGAATTTAGAGAAATAGATGGAACAACTCAAACATTACAACTGGAATCTTGGAATGTAGGAATTGATGCAAGTGGTTCAAACAACATAAAATGGGATAAGACTATTTGAGTGTGTCCTATCTCAGTGCAGTGTACAATTATTTTCCCACTGTTCACTTTCCTACCTATTCTCAGTGTAAAAAAACATGTTAATGCAACATGACTAATTTTTTGCATTGTTTTCGAATTTTATATTTAAGGGTACTAGAACAAACTTATAGCTAAAGATTAACTAACTATTATGGTTCATTTGTTACTAATGTAAAATTATGGCGTTAATAACAATTATGCACGAGTTTTTTTTCTCTAATTTATTGCTTCTACTTCTGTTGATGTTTTCAAGTCTTACATTTTAGGCCTGTAATTTCTGGATTGTTCCATGTCTCTTTTAGACTATCTGTCATGTTTATTGCATCCCATTGATCTTCCTGAACGATGCTCATTAGTGAGCTTATGATATGCAGGACACCTGATATGTCAGCAATGCATCATGACACATCTGCTGATTTGAGGGTGGTGAGCAACAAATTGAAGGACATATTTGAGGTATATCTATTTAAATGAAAATTTGGCTGTTGTAAAATTCTGAGTTTGTATTTTGAATAGCATGTTTTCCTCTCAATCAGGTGCATATGTGTAAAATTTTTGCTGGATTGCTTAAGAAAAGAAATTTCAAATAGACCAGGCATCTTTAAGACTAATGATCCTACAACTTGATGACTCGTATAGAACAAACTACGATTCTGACAATTATAGGCTTTTTAGAAAAGCTATTTCCTCTGAAGTGAAGTAGGGCCCTTGCTCCAGTATTGGGGAATAGCAGTGACATCCTTGTATGGAGGAAATGGCAGTATGTTTTGTACGGTTAAATTTAATGGAGGGCGAATTGTATGTTCCTCCACAACTCCCCTGATGTATATCTCATTTTTATCTTCTTCTTGTGCCTCAGGTGTCCAATACCACCCTGAAAACAAGGAGAGCTGTGGTTGAACTCTGCAACATAATTGCTACACGTGGTGCCCGACTTGCAGCTGCTGGGATCTTCGGTGTCCTTAAGAAAATGGGAAAGGACACTTCAACAGGAGCGGAGAAGACTGTAATAGCTATGGATGGTGGATTATACGAGCATTATACTGAATACAGAAAGTGTTTAGAGAACACTCTGATCGAATTGCTTGGAGGGGATGGTTCAAGCAGCATTGCTTTTGAGCACTCAAACGATGGTTCGGGCATTGGTGCTGCCCTTCTTGCTGCCTCACACTCCCAGTATCGAAACGAGAGCTCATAATTAATGGTATAGGCAAGTTAGTCCTCCTTAACCTTGTTTAGCCTCAATTACCCCATATACATTATTCTGGGCTATTTTTCATCCTTTTTGCTCGATACTAGGAAGATGTTACTTGGAATTCTGCATCTTTGCCCATAATTTACCGGGAAACAAATTCTGAGAATTTGCGCGGTATAATGAGGACCTGCAACTTCCTCTTTCTCTCACGCTGCCCAGCCAAATTGGCCCCCTTGCAAACCTTCTGCAAGCTAGTGCAACGGTAATAAAGACTCAGAATCTGTCCTCCTCAAGCCTATTTTAGTTGCTATAATGCTGAGATTTGTGGTTATTTGCTAGTCAATCTTCTTATTGTTGATTTTTGGCTATCGGGAACTACGCTGTAATTGACATACGGTTACTTCTCAAACTGCTTTGTTCTGTAACCAATAAGATGCTAAATAATCATGGTGGAGTCTCAAATTTTCAGATGCAGTGTCAATGAAGCTATCATAAACTTTTTTAACTATTGCACCCCTATTTTTAAATTATAAGTGGACGTCTGGAACTCGAGACTTCTCACTTATAGTCACTCTTCCGTACCATCCAACCCACCCTCCTCCGTTCCTCCTCTCGTGAAACAGCTGTTACCTTGTTCATGAAACAATCCTAATACGACTAATCAAGCGTAAATATCAAAGTAGTAGGTAGTTGATAATTGGAATTTCACGATGGATATTAATATTGCTAGTTTGACTAGTTTATGTATTGTTCCCAAATTGCACACAGTACACTCTGCATGAAAAATCGCACAAAGTACACTCCGCATGAAGAGAGTGCAGTCTTGTTTTTGACCAAGGCACGGGTGAGATATCAACTATGCATTACGGAATATACACACTTTGATTAGACCAAGAGATTGCCACTTTTTTCTGGGTCAGAAATATTGATCCAGAATAAAAATTACACGTTCCATTTCCATGACCGGAAAATAAGATAGAAAGATACACGCAAGCATACAAAAGTCAATCCCAGCAGGAAAAAAAACACAATTGATTAAAGCTTCAGAAGGGCCTTCCTTCATTTCTACAGAATCCAAGAAGGCAATAGCAAAACAAAAATTTACAGGAAAGGAAGTTCATTTGTCCTTCCTAACACAACCACCACCTGGAATTGTAATAATTACAAAAATCAACTTCTTCCTCTTCTTCCTTTTTTTCTTCAATTAATGATGTAAACGTTAATGGTAGTAGCTGTTCCACCATCCTTATCAAGTCTGCAAAATGATTTGATCCTTCATTTCAATGAAACATCAAGCGAGAGCTTTCCTTGCTTGCTCCCACCTGCAAAGACAAAAGGAAAATATCCGCATTTAATCACCTAGCACTAGTAGCAGAGGCTTGAACAGAACAGCAACCTAAGAGAACAGCCCCATAAATTAAAGCTTACGGCAGAGTGTTGCGATCTCAGAGCTTTTCAAGACTCGCAGCCTCTTTACAGTAGATACAAACATGCTGCACAGTTAAGAAAGAAAGAGGAGTTTAGCTAACACTCTTGAGTAATTCTGCCAAAGTATTCTAAGAACAAGCTAAAAGCTTCAAGATGGCACTTAATTATTACTAGTATATCAAGTACCAAGAACAAGCTAAAAAGTATACCACCTGCACTTGTGTTTTCTTTTTTTAACCTATCAGAGTTGGTTGAGAATAATAACAAGTTCTCAACAGGAAAACATCAATTTCTTGGATCTCAGGAGGGGTTATAGTAAACATGAAAGAATAACGCCATTACCACATGGGGTTACAAGCGGTCAAAGAAGCAAAGCATATAATATGCGAAAAGTATGCAACTGATTAATTCTTTCCTTCTTTCTTTAAATTACTAGTGACAAACATGCAAGAATATAATAGGGCAATTGATAATAACAACATCAGATCCAGAGTCAAAAGAAAAAAATGCTTACTGCCACGGAACATCCCCAACAAGCATCCTGTCTCCTTCGTTATCTTCATATACGAGGGTATATTCTCCACTTCCATCCAATAAACCACTTATCACTTTCTCTCCCTCTCCCTTGTTCTGAATTCCACCGGCAGAGGAATCCCCTTGAGCTAAGCAGAGAAACAAATGACAAACGAATTCAGACAATTTTCTACATAAATATTTACATGCGACAAACTCGCACGATGCAGATAGTTATTTATTAAGGATGAGAAGCCACTATAGCAGCCAAATAGCCCTGCCCCCTTCTCAAAGAAGCTTTATACTCAAATTATTGCAAAATAAACTTCTAAAAAGCTGAGTAAAATACACCTAAATTAGCAACAAGTCGCCATTTTTCACTCTAATGATCAACTTTAGCGCATAAACAAGGGTAAATCTTTTATGTACTAACAGTGTATACGATATTAAAGATTCCTTTAGCATACTCCTGGAATAGTTCAATCATGTTCCACCCTCATTCAAACAGAAACAATCCAAAAGCAGAAATTGGTAAGCAATGAAACCTGCAAGAAGGCCTCTGAAAAGTTCATCAACAGCAGAGGAGAGCTTCTCATAAGTGTCATATGCTTTGAGGTCCACTTTTCTTCCGATAGGAACTCCATCCATATTGATCTTCACGAACAAACCCTTTTGGCAAATTTCAACAGCTTTTTCATTTGCAGTCTTTCCAGAGATCCCATTTTGTGATCCAGAAGTTGACTTCAAATGGCTGCCGCTAGCAATAATTTTCCTGAATGAACGAATTGGAGGCCAGCCCACAACTGCAGCAGGAGCAGTTCTGTTTTCCAATCACAAATTTTAGTGGGACCATCCACGAGGAGATGATAACACATGCAATTACGTAGAATACAATAATCGGTGAATGTCAAGGATGATTAAAACGTAAAAAAGAAGAAGAAAGCAAGTTGAAATTCATGTATCAAATCCATCCAGCTATTTTTTCCAGTATCTGTGTTATACTCTACAGGACAAATTCATTCATCAAGGAAACAGGGGCTATCAGAACTTACGAAGCCACACGTCTGCAAATTTGCTGCATTCCACCACATGTACAAGCATTATTGCTATTTCCGAGAAACTCTATTAATTAACCACGATTTTAATAGTGAAATGTGTAATACAAGTAGTGAAATGGACAGTTGCAGAAAAGTAATTTAAATTTTCATTAGTAAGATTAATGAGATAAACTTCAGGACTAACACGTAAAAGGAGAGGATAAGGCTTAAGACACAACCTGCCAAAGAAACGCCAGCCATGACTTTTCGTTTACAGCAATGAGCAGGTGAATTATAAAAATACAAAACTAATATGAAAGAAGTATAAGAGCCAGAAAAAACCAGTCCAGGACGTACTTAAAAGAAAAACTAACAAAGTTTGTACTTTCACCAAAACAGATGGAAACTCCCAAACAATAAAGACTGGACCCTGCATAAATCCATTTCACAGGACAGACATCAAAAAAGTGAAAACAATATGCCGCAATTCATGGACCACAAACATGTAGTAACAATGTGTAAAGTATAACACAGACTCGAGAAGATCATGTGAAATAGTGAATATCCTCTGTCCAAAAGAAAAACAAAACATACAACAAGGGAGCAATAACCAAAGGCTGAGGGTACCTTTTCTGAGCATTAGTAGAGCTGTTGGGCACAGCTGTAGTTGTGGCAGCAGCAGCAGCAGAAGGCGGCGAAAATGCCTTCTTTTCTGCGGTATTCTGCAAGTCTACTGCTTTGGTGCTGCAACAGTGCTGTGAAGAATCCTTTGACATAACTTCTGCAGGCAGAGGACGCTGTGTAGAAGTTGACTGAAGCTGAAGAAATGGAGTGGCCTTTGTTTGCTGTTGCAGTAGTTGTTGGCCTTTTCCTTGGAAATTAGCTGATGAAGATGACCATGGACATGGTTTTAATAAAACATGGGCTTGATTTCCATTCGCAGTGGTATCCGTAAAACCTCTCTTTGTACCAGCACTAGTACTGTTAGAGAAGCAACCACGAGAGAGATTAGAAGACTCAGGTCCTCCGGGAGGACCAAGCCTTAGCTCAAGTTTCTGCTCCTCTGAACAAGCTCCATGGCCTGTATCTTGCTCCATTTTCACAACCCACTGTCTTTCTTGTGGGATCAAATCAAGTAATTTAGGACATCCCTCATCCTTTCCAGGATATCCCTCCATTTTTTCTTTATCGAATATGTATATATATATACAGCCTTTTCTCACACCAGAAGAGAGTAGTAACGAAGACAAAATATATATACTGCTGCAGAAACAAGAAAATGAAGATAACGTCCTGGTTAGGGGAACTGCTAACACAGAACAATCTGGACGTGGGGAGAAACAACACAAGGGACTAAACAGAGTAAAGAGTCAAACTTTACCTTGAATGCCTAACCGAAGCTCAAAAACATGGAAGCCCACATCATAAATACACCTCAAAAAAGAAGCCCTTTTCCTCTAAGGCGGCCAAGCTAAAGGAGCAAAGAAAAACACCGGAAAGGAACAATACAGCTTCAAGACAACTATACTAGTAGTAAAGCTCCAAGCTTGGACTCATGCGGAGGACATATCATCCCTCAAGAACCAACCCCACGAAAGCAAAAGAAAAGGAGAGGTAATAATAGCTGTGGGAATTGCAAATCTACTAGTACTGGGCTTATTTAATAGATATAGGATGTGGGATGAGGAGTCCTAGCCAGTTGGGATGGGGTCTGTTGTTTTTTTGCCTTTTCTAAAGCACGCTGAGTATGTGTTTCTGCTCGTCTTCTATTTTTTTTTTCTCTCAGTTATCACTCTCAATTTTCCTATCTGGGGTTGCAACCTGGCCTGTGTAAACGGAAGGAAGCAGAAAAGGGGTAAATAAAGAGCAGTAGTAGCAGGAGTATAATGGAGTAGCTAGAAGCCAGTCGACAGATTCCCTTCACTCGACAGAGCCTAGCAGAGCAAACTATTCCAAAAGAAGGAAAGAAGCGAAGAACGTAAATTAGATGACAACGCACGCAACCTCACAAATCCCAAATGCCAAATATATGATGGTTGGTTGGTTGAGGAAGCAAAGCGTGCTGACCTTTCTCTTCTCTCTCTAAAATAAAAGGAGAGATGCTTTGAGTTGAGCAGCTGCTGCTGCAGCAGCTGTAGGGGGGCTATATACTTCATATGCTGCTACTTCCTGCAGACTAGACTACGACGGGTTCCACACATCCAGCCCCCACAGGCTACTGCTAATATAGTGTTAGTTTTTGCTGTGGGAATGGACCGCTGGAGTGGATCATGGATGGACTTAAAATTAGCACAATACCCCAAATTTTCGCTCTAATTTATGTGAGTTGTTTTTCTAGAGACAAATAAGTCAAGAAAATGAAAAGGACATCTCTGTCTAGATAAAGTTACTATTGTGCCCAGTTTAATTTATTCGTTATTCAATAGCAGACCATTCATATTTGTAAGTTTGTATGAGTCGGATAAAATTGGACAAAGCAGAGACTTCACTTCATTGACAGGGAGAAGAAGGCTCATTAGCATATTAACCAAGAACTTTCGCTGTTCTCAAGGATAACATCACATGCTAAAGGGGCTGTTAAAATCAAAGAGAGTTGGTAGTTTCAGTATTGCTCAGCACAGAGTTTTGGCAATTGGCATCTACAAAGCGTGAAAGTTTTTAGAAGTTTTTTTTGTTTTCTTTCCTTTCTTTTTTTTGACCTTCCATCCCTCTTTACAAGTTACAACCCTCCAATTGCCGAGAGAGAAGATAAAAGAGAAGACTTGAGGCTAACTAAACTCAATTGCTGCAACTAAAGAAAGAACTTAGTATATGATTGCATTAATTTAAAGGGGAGAGAGAGGGAGAGAGGATTTGCATGATCCGTTCTTGCAGGTTGGGGGGGACAGGGGATGTGCAATAAAAACATGCAGATCCCATGATCTTGTCTGCTTCCTTCTCTACTCTCAATCTTCAATCTTGCCGTCCACAGTCCACGACAGATCTATCTACCCTGCCCACACCTGAGTTGGAGAAATTAGAAAAAGATTCCCTGTAAACACTTCCTCCTCCGCATGATTCAGCTACAGTTGCTGAATCTTCACGTAACATGAAAATCGAAGACAAACATGAGGGAATTTCACAAAAATAAAATGTTGCACTCTAGTTTTGGGATCATCTTTTGTACTTTTAAGGTACATCATCTTTGTGATAAGTCGTTTTTATTTTAGGAAATGGAAATCCATGTCTCTGAAAACAGCTAGCGTTCTTGTTGGGATAACTATACTAAATGGAGTGGTTAAATTGACTAATCCGATCGTTCTAAACAGGTGCTACAAAACAAAAGTGCTCGTTCCTACACCGCACCACGAGTCATGAGGCATGTTATTATTCTCCTTCCTAATGACTATGATTATGTATTATTATGTTCTGTAATGAGACTCAAATGATAAGTAACGAACATTAACTTTGACTTTCCAAAACTGAACACCATCATCAATGGAGATCAACAAATGTCTGTCTACAATCTCTTTTATCGCCATTGAGGAATTGAAAGCTGAAACCGTTTTTTCCCTCGACAAGATTGTCATTCTTTGACTAAGATCGGGAGTGTTGCTGCAAAAGGTGCACCTAACAAGCAAGCTATTTTTTGGTCCATTTGGTGGTTTCTGTATTGTTTCCCGGAAGTCAAGCATCTTAGGGCTAAATATCCCGCAATCAGAGTCAAAAGAATGCATCAATTATTATCCTTAATTATGTGCTAATAACACACACACACACACACAGTAGTACGTTGGAAATTTCTCTTCCTCCCGCATTAAAAGAGGTGTTTCAAGGTCAAAGAAGGTTGTTTTCCTGAATGAATCAACCGAGGACGACAACATTCACTAGACTGCCTCACGTGTGCTTGCCAACCTTTTCACGTATTGGTGAAAATGATATCTGTATTTGGTCCTCGATCGATCTTGGAATTCTTTGTAATTTGTAGGAGAGTTGGTGACATTTCCTTCTTGCATTGCCCACAGATTCCATGCATGGGTTTGTTTTGTCCAATTTAGCAGGTAACATTTCATTTTTTTAAAAGGGGGGGCGGGGGGTATACTTCTTTAAAAAGTTCATAAAGACTGTTCATAGAGACCATCATAAATAGTCTCATATATGAAGTGTATTATTGAATCTTGATATGTGTCATTTACAGTCTAGTCAAAAGTGCTTTAAGTTACATTCTTATGTGATGTTTGGATCGCTAGTTTACGTTGAATTTTTTTTAGATATGATTCTTGATATGTTTTATAATTATCCTTTTTAACTCACGTACATCAAATTATTATGATATTTTTTTTATAGAAACTCTAATAAAAATAACAATTAAAACTCGGCCTAATTTTTTTTTTGTCAAAAAAAACTGGGCCTAATTACTAGAGTCATCTATATCTATATGTATTGAGGAAGGGGTTTTTAGCAGAAACCCTCTCAATGGCTTCTGAACTTCCCATTCTTTTTTCTAGATTTTTGTATTTATTTTAATAAATAAATAGTAGTGGGTTATAACCAACCCTATCACCAGTCCAATTTAAAATTTAAAACTTCCCCACTATCTCTTATCTCATCTTACAACCACTCCTACAAATCCTCTAATCATCATCCCATGTTTTCCCCCACATTTCCTCCCACGGTTCCCACTCCAATTAAGAGTCCTCCAATTTAAGAATCCCACCCCAATTAAAACTCCTCCAAATATAGCATCCTCAAATTTTCTTGCGTGCTCATTCGTATTTGTTGGTTAACCAAAACAAGAATCTATTATCTCTTTCATCTCTTGATTTTATAAATGTATTGATTTTGTCTTTTTTGTGAACAGTTATGGAAGAGATTATGTGCAGAGACTTCAACGGAAATCAACCTTCTTGCGGAGAATTGGAAGTATCTTCTTGCCGGCTTAATTTTCAAGTCAGTCCTCTCTGCCCCTCCTTTTTGTCATGTTTTGCTTTTCTTTTAAGGTGATTTGATTTTTTACTTTCCTTATTTTTTCTCCTTTTATTTTCTGGGCTGGCAGATGGTTTTGATTGCATACATGATCAATGCTTTAAAGAGGCCATGCGAACAGCTGCGTGCTATTTCACTTTAGGCCAATGGATATGGCCGACTGATGACTTTGTCAACAATAATGTCTTAAATTTCTAATAACGGTGACATTCATGTTTTCAAAGATACATCCATTCTCTTAGCAACACAGTGCTGTTTCCAGAATCGCAGTATATGCATCATCCGTTGGAGCCACCTCTGTGAAGCGGCTATGAAAAATTCGAAGCTGCTGCTCTGCACAAGATGCTGCTATACAAAACTTCACTCTTCGTGGGGAGAGATGTTGCCTCTCTAAAAGAGTTACTTTCCAGGTGCATCCAGGACTAATAAACTATCTCAATTTTTAACAATCCCTTCATAGTTTCCCCACCAAGAAGCAGGGATCCCATGTCTTTGAAACCCTTCAGGCATATGAAACCTTTCATACAGCACTGGCCTTACATCCTTCTGCTGAGAGAGGTGCTTGAGAAGTGGAAGGATAACTTCCAAAAGCTGATGAGCATGTGCATATTTAAATTAGTGTGAGTCTCACCCAGCGGACATAGTTTGACATAAGTTTTAATCCAATTACTGTAATCAATGGTACCTGTTCATCCTGCGGTTGCCCTGCTGAAAATGGAATGCATGGAATACCATTTAGTGGTTGCAACAAGAAACTGAATGGATTGTTATCACCCAAAATGATCCGCCAGGGAGACCCTACTCTTACGGTCTTACGACTCTTACCATGACGTTGGTCACCCACGGGCAACACATTATTGACCAAGCATCAGAAAAAAAACACTAGGTATCCTAATGCAAGTTCATGTTTACTCAACTGAAAATGTTGAAAGCACTCTAATAGCACCCTTCTGTCTACATATATTACTCTTGCTACACAAATAATTGGTGATTCACTTGGAAAGTACTCAGCAATTGAAACGCAATTGATTCCCAGTTGCGTCTCTTACTTGGAAATGCAACTGTACCCTATCCATTCACTTAGCAATTCTTTTATAGATTAGCAAGGTTATTTTTGTTTTCTTACGTTTTAGAGCTTTCATGCTTAGAAGAATGAGTTAAATCTAAAACGGATGGAGACGAAAATAAAATAAATGTTCGAAATATTTAGCATTTTCATTGTCTTACTTTTGATCATGTACTTTGTTGGTGCACTTTTAGTACTGTAAGATTTACTGCTCTTTTATATGCTTTGGATATGAGTTGTACAATCGTTTTCTTTATCAGTTGAACATATTAGACCATATTCCATGCCGAGTTGACTTAGTTTGCCTAGCTTACTTGGAACAACGGATGTTTGGTTAAAATCAATGTTGACAACAACTCCTAAGGTTCGCCTTGCCGCAAAAAATGTAAAACTGCCTAGAGTAAATTCAGAATACTCCATCAGTAAATAAAAAAAAAAGACAAATAACTAATTCTCAATAAACTACTTTGCCCATGCAAATAACCATTTGAATTTACTATAAACCAGAGCATAATTTAAACGAATTACTGCTATTCAATTATCTCTGATGAAATCAAAACTTAGAATTGTCTGGCAAGAGGGAGATGACAAACACTTCAATTTTTTGATGTGTCCATTAGTTCATGCCTATAAAATTAGTCCAGTGGCAGAAACTTCCTTTTTTTGTTTGAAAATACTCTACATATGAAAAAGCTATCCCGACAAAAGCGTAATTCAGATTATGAATGTTACAAATGAGCTGAAATTGAAAATAGAGCCATGGTACTGTGAATTCCTTAATTTCATGTACATTTAATTTCAACATATTTTTCTATATTGTATATCTATATCTTATTTGTCAAACAGGTACAATGTTAACGTATAAATCAGAGATTCCAGTGATAACATGCATCTTAATGTACAAGACAGACATGCACGAAAATGGTAACATGCATCTTTGTTTTTATAGTACTATTTATAAACTATGTAAAAAAATACACTAATTTCGTATGTTCTTAATTATCAAGAAAATGGTGATAGATTGTTCAGCCAACGAATTAATTCATGCAAAGATCGTACATTTTTATTTGTAGTACGCACTCCACAAAATTCAACAAAGTTAATTATAAATCACTAAATTTGGCTTTCGTACTAAAAGTGGATTGGTGTGAAGAGTGTT